TCGTGGCTTTATCTTGACATGGCTTCTCTCCGTGCTGCTAGCAGCGCCGCCGCCTCCACTGCTCCTCCTGCGCCCGCCGGCTGCGGGTAGCGAGCGGGCCACGGTCTCGGTCTCTTGTCTGAGTCTCTCAGTCTCTTGCTTAAGTGGGGGGAAGTTTTGGGAGGGGTTCATTTTTTTTTGTTTTGTTTTTGTTTTCCTTTCTTTTTTTTTCCTTTTTGTCAAGAGAGGAGGGGGGGGAATACTTCTTCCTCCTCTTCTTAACCTGGTCCGGCAGATTTGCTAACCTAAAAACTTTTAACCCCGACTAATCCAACATCTGGGGGGGAAAATGTCTGGAGAGAGGAAGAAAATAACCTGATAATTGGGGATTTGCTTTTTGGGGGGGAGGGTGTTTTCGAGGTTTAAAATTGCAATCTAGCCTTGCAATTAAAAAAACCTCGCAAAAATTTTGACACCAAAAACCTGTTTTGCGAGAGGAGCAGGAGCAAAACTCTCCATGTTTTCCAAGTCGTGACCATGAAGTGAGAGGGGAGACGCCGTGCCACTGTGGGTGTCCCGCTGCCCTGGGCACAGGCTGCCCTCTGCAGCCTCTGCCGTCTTGTGTAGAGAGAGGCCTAAGGAGAAGTGAAAAGCTTTGGCCATGCACAGCCTCGGCTAGCCGTGCTCGCTGCGGAGCGCAGCAGCAGCAGAGAGAGAAGGATTCCCGGGGGATCAGCAGCCCAGGGAGTGTGTGAGGTTTTGGGGGATGTAGGGCTCTCCCACTGGTAAGGAGCCTGGGTTTGGGGCACTGATTTGAGTTTCAGTCTCTAGGTGAGATAATACTGTCCCTTGAACCCCTGCCCACCCCTCATCTGTGGCCATCATGATCTCTCTTGTCTTTGGCAGCAGTAGCCTCAGGGCAATGATGTGCCTGATGATGAGCAGGATGAAGTTAGAAATGACTCCACTGTGTTTTCTCTTTGCTCCCCTGCAAACCAGCACTGTGTTGTCTGTAGTTGATTTTGTTGTTGTTGGCAGAGAAATGTCATGCCTCCCAGGATGTGCACTCCTCCTTTGCACCCTTTTCTCTGCTCTCCACCAAGTGTAATAATTCTAAAGAAGAAAAAAAAGGCAACATAGCAATAGTGGAAAGCTGAGAACAATAATCAGTAGAGTCATGAATCTGGCTGGGGTAAAACGCAATTTGTAATTTCAGCTTCATTTTTTTTTTTGTAAGCAGAGCAAAAGTACCCCCCCCATGGATTGGGCTTGTGCCAGTTGCTTTTTATTGTACACATAAATTGTGATAAGATTTGTTGGGGTTTTTTTGGTTTTTTTTCCCATTCTTACCCACTTATTCCTGCGGCTAAACTGTTCAAATTTTTGTTTTCAAAATTTTTAGGGTTTTTTTTTTCTTGTTTTATTGTAAAACCTCTCGTCCAGCCATGGCTGGACAACTACTTACTTTGTTTCTTGACCCCTCCAATACGACATTCTCGTAAAATATTGCCTGAGGTGCGATTTTGGGTTACATTCGCGTTTTATCTATTCAGTCGTATTAGCAGGAATAAAACGACTTGTTTCTGTTGTACTTGAGTCTTACGAAAAGGTGCCCATAGTTTAGCGACAGTTTCCAAAGGCTTTAGTACCACCTTTATTACAAAATGGGGGACCCAAACTCCCGGAAGAAACAAGCTCTGAACAGACTTCGTGCTCAGCTTAGAAAGAAAAAAGAATCTTTAGCTGACCAGTTTGACTTCAAGATGTACATTGCCTTTGTGTTCAAAGACAAGGTAACTTGGTTTTAATGTTTCTCTCTAACTCTGTTGCAATGCATGTTAACTAAGCTGTGCAAAATCATGCTGCCTGATTGCATCTTAACAGTTTATCCTTTAATAGATTCCATTGACTTTTTAACTTCTTTTAATTGCTAATTGCTGTAATATTTACTTAGTTCATATTTGTCATTTTGGCTTTTCCTGTGTTTGTAGTTTTGTAATGCAGAGGGTGCCAGTGCCTCATTAAATGATTACTTGGTAACTTCTGTATTGGGTAAATATTTTTCAAAGTTAATACTGTAATTCGTTAAGCCAAATTGGGGTCTGAATTGTGTAATTGTTGGCTGTGAACAGTTGAGTTGAAAAGGGAGACCTGGCTGGAGTGATTGCTAAGTTACTGTGTTTATCTGGTTAAAGCAGAAGGGAGAACCTGGCAGCCGAAGGGAGGAGTCGCAAAATGCCGTACTGAAATGGCCCAAGCACGCAGGCATATGTGAAACCATTTTGAAAGGGAGTAGGCAGGGAAAAGAGGAAGTCTTCATTTGCTTGTCTGCTTTGTCTGCTGCTGCTGGGTGCTGCGCATTTGGCCCAGGGTGGGGAGCCTGGTGGTATTTCTAAAGCTAACTATAGACCCAGAATTGTAAGAGAGTTTCCGTCCATAGAGGGTGAAGAAAAATGGTTGCTTTTAGTAAGTGAATGTGCTGAACAAATGGTGAGGAAGTGAAGACAGAAGCAAATGGTAACAGAGTACATAATGCAGGCAGTGCATGCAGATAAGCACTGAAATTATTTAATCACCTCAAATGTATAGTTCTTGCATTCGCTGTGATAGTTGTGTTTTTAGTGAAGACTCTGTTCTTTGGACTTTTTTGCATTGAAAAGTTTCCTTAAAATTCCCAATTCCCAAATTCTTCAATTTGCTTTTGTTCATCAGTTCTAGTGTGAACAGATGGATATAGTGGGATGCAATTTCTTTGTGCTGTCTCATACTAGTACAGAGAAATACAAATGTTTAAGCAGTCATAACAATTAGATTTTCTTAGATGATGTGACTTAATGGTTTTAGTTGGAACATTCATACTACTTTCTGGTTCCTTTGTAGAAATTTTTTGCAAATGCCTGTTTAAATCCTGTAGCATTTGCTTATATCACAGTGAACTGAAGACATCCAGTACCAGTTTGCTTAAAGTAGGAGTTTAATTCAGCCTAGCTTGGTCAGCAAATAGTTGGTTGTTATGTATGTTCTGGCTGGGGGTGTGGAGTGTTACTTGATAAAATATGCTTTGTCTATCATGTAGTTCTTAAATAGGTCAAGACTTCTCATGAGCTACAAGAAAGCTGTTAGAAGCAGTCATACAACTTTAAGTGATTTTACATACAGCAAAAACTGTTCTTCCAGATTCCCCATGTTTTGGCCTTGCTTGAGAGCTTTGAAATATTCGTAGTGAGCATGAAAGTTATTTATCAAATTAAAATAGTCCTTCTTTGAGAAGGTTATGGTGTGTAGCTAATTTGAGATTGGATCTTGATCACCCGCTGTTACTAAATGTGGCATTGAAAGACCTCACTTTTCATAAAAGGCCAACTTTAAAGTATTGCAAAGGGGGAAAAAAAGTGTTACTTGATTGGCAAGGAGAAGCTTGCAGAGGGCTCTTGGTCAACCCAAAGTCATGTATTCTACGTGATAAAAGGGCAGTTCTGTTAATGTTTAGATACAGCTTTAATGTTTGCAAGATTGGCATGTAAATCTGCATCTTTGACTACAAAAAACATGTTCAACTTTTTTAAAAAGTTGTTGGACTGATTCTGTTTAATTTATAAAATTTTGCATGTAAATTTTAGTGTGGTTTGTGTTAAAGTCCTAACTTACGTGATGTGCACTTTATATATGAATGCTAACAGAAAATCACAAATTCTGAAATAAACTGTTATCTCTAATTGCCTAGAGAGGATTGTAATCTTAATGTAACCTGTGCTTTTTTTAGAAGAAAAAGTCAGCGCTTTTTGAAGTGTCTGAAGTGATACCAGTCATGACCAATAATTATGAAGAAAATATCCTGAAAGGTGTGCGGGATTCCAGCTATTCTTTGGAAAGTTCCTTAGAGCTTCTGCAGAAGGATGTAGTACAGCTTCATGCACCCCGCTACCAGTCTATGCGCAGGGTAAAGTTCCTCTTTAAACTTGCTGAATTTTAGTTTTTCAACAATTGTGCTTTTCTTTGTGAATCTTAAAGCTAATCCTGCTTTCTTTTATTTTCTCAACTCTTCTGCTGCATGAGGGTTCTGCGGACATGTGTTTATGGGGTCTAGTTTGAAGGGCAACAGCATATGTATTCTGAAATTCTGTGTAAATATCTAGTGCTCAAGCTTTATCTTTCATCTGTCTCATTTAAATATGCCTTGGGAATTGTATCTTCTTGCCATCCTTGTCCTTTAGTAAGCATGTGTTCTTGCAGCAGCTCTTGCTGTACAACTAAGTGGTTTTGCTTTATGAATATTGGAAGATAGACAGTCTTTGCTAATGTTTTCTTAAAGTTGGAATTTATATTAACTGGATGCTGATATTAAAACTCAGTGGAAAGCAAGGAAGACTTCAGTTGTGCTATGAATTGTACAAATGGAAAATTACATAAATGTGGTAATAAGTACCACCTTTAAATTATGTGCCTGTATAGATAAGTTGCTTATCTGTATCTTTAACTAATGGAGGGAATGTAAGTACAGAACTTTCCCACTTACAGGATGTGATCGGCTGTACCCAGGAGATGGACTTCATTCTTTGGCCTCGTAATGATATTGAGAAGATAGTCTGTCTCCTGTTTTCTCGGTGGAAGGGATCTGATGAACCCTTTAGGCCTGTTCAGGTATTTGGTTTTGGTTTTTTAACTTCAATAAGTAACTTACACCCAGAGGGGAGGATAAGTACTCTCTCTTCTTAACCAGTAGGTTGATAAGGTATGTGACTCCTGCAGATGTTGGAAAGTATGTGGTCTGGTTTTATTTATAAAGCAGTCAATGTTTTGAATGCCAAATTCTGCTTCCTAACTTTATGCACTGTTATATTAGCACTTCCAAAATTTAAGCATCTGAAGGACCTTTACAAATAACATGTATGTATAAATACATATATTGTGTTAGTATTTGTAGAAGTGGATTAGATGTGGCTCTTAGTACAATGGACTCTTTGCCTAAATATAATGGTGTCATTAAGGTTCTGTGAGTATCCCAAGCTGCTGTATTTTGGTAGGTGAAAGAGGGTCTGAGACGGATGGAATTTTTGCATTATAATTTTACCTCAAAATAAATTTCAAACACTTTATTTTTTTCAGTGGCCAGCTTTAGCTGTTTACATTGAGATTTTTGAACAATGTTATATGTATTTTCTGTGCTGGTTCTGCAATAATAGTAAGTTATTGGAAGAAATGTGCTGTACTGTTGATGCACAGGGATGTTCTGCCACAAGCAGCTAAGTCTGGGTTTATATATGCAGTTAAAGTTGTACCTTTGAATTGTTAATATGTCATTGCAATGGCTAATGTCAGTGTTGGCAGAATGAGACTAGGAAATTCTTTAAATTGTGCCGAGACTCAAGTGTGTCGTTGCTGTGGTCCTCGATTTCTGCTTTTCATAGATGAGAAAAGGAAAGAAACAAAAGTGGTTGTAAAGCCCCATATTGAAGGAAATTAATTGGTTAAATGTGAGCTTTAGCTTAATAAATATTTTATTCTCCTCCCTCACACAATGCAGGCCAAGTTTGAATTTCATCATGGTGACTATGAAAAACAGTTTCTGCATGTTCTGAGCCGAAAGGACAAGACTGGAATTGTTGTCAACAACCCTAACCAGTCAGTGTTTCTCTTCATTGACAGACAGCACTTGCAGGTAAGCTTATTTTGTCCATCTTTTTAACAAGTGTGTTTTAATCATAAAATACTTTTTCTTCTTAGGTACATCAGTGATTTTACTGCAAAATACTCAAGTAGAAAAACAGATCATATGTTCATGCTTGCATTTCGGCAGTTTCAGGGGAAACTTATGCTATAAATAGGATTCATACATGCAAAAACTAGCTACGGGCTACAGTTGTGTTCACACAGAATTAATGTTCTTGTGTTAAAAATTAAGTTCTAAAATAGATTTAACAGTCATTTGGAAAAATTAAAACATTGGCTTCATTTGGGTGATACTACAGGAATTATTCAAGTGAAGAATGAACGGAATAGTGAAAATACTTTAGGCATTAGAGGTCGCAGACTAATTCTGAGTTCAGGCTGCTTATATGGATGAAACAGCGGCTTTTAAATGTCCATGTTGTTTCTCCACAACCAGCAGTACACTGGTTCTTGGCTGGATTCAGATTGGGCTGGATCTGCTGGGGGTCTGCCTATTAGCCTTGAGTTAACTTGCATGTTTAATTGCTTTTCTTTGGGTTTTCTTTGCCTCTAGACTCCAAAAAACAAAGCTACAATCTTCAAGTTATGCAGCATCTGCCTGTACCTGCCACAGGAGCAGCTCACTCACTGGACGGTTGGTACCATAGAGGATCACCTCCGTCCTTACATGCCAGAGTAAGGTACTGGCCAGCAAAATGGGGAAGATCACAGAATGCAGCAGTGGATTTTCACTTTCCTCACCACTTTATTCTTTCAGAATTTAGAAGAAAATGGACTCATGTTCAGAACACTATACATTGTGAAACTTGATCATCCTGGATTTTTTTTATCATTTGTATCTCAGAACTTTACAATTTTTTTTAGATGTTTTCTGCATGGACCTTGTGAAAGAGAGGATGCTCTGCACACTTCTGCACTGCATCAGCATCTTGCTAAAATGTGAAATGAAGGGACTGTACACTGAAACAAATGTATCCGAAAGCACAAGGTGATCATTTGTGGTGGTGTTCCCATTTGTGCTGGTCATGTCCCCTAACATCTATAATGTTAACCATCAGTATTTGGAGGGTGAGAAGTGAATGTAACGGGTATAAAAGCCTTATAGCTGTGCTGTTAACGATTGTATCAAAGAGCACTATCATTCATTTTAATGAACAGAAAAGTGGCTATTACAATAGGAAGTAAATGCGGGAAAGAAATCTTTCTTTTTGGAAAAAAAAAAAGCATCTCATTTAATGTGTAGGCATTTTTTGCCTCTTTTATTTTGCTGGGCCATGTCTGAGTTTACTGGCACTTTTGTTTTGGATCTCTTTCCCCAAGTTGCTGTATAACTGTATGAAAGTATTCTTTTGAGTTGGATGCATTTATACAGATGAGGCAGACCTGGAGTCTGAAGTTGCTAAAGCAGCTAAAAATAAAGTAAAATAATAGCTGCAGAAACAATGTTGGTAGAGGATTATTTTTTCTTGAGAGTTGAGACTTGTAAACTTGCAGGTAAACTGTGCAGGAAATACTGGTTTCTAAAACATTTCTTATGGAAAACCCATTGAGGTTTTTTTCTTTTGGAATAGACATTATAAAACAATGTAAAATAGTGTTTGGAGTGTCAAAAGTTGGTTCTGACAGAACATTTTAAGATTGTGCAATGATAAAAGGAAGACTACTGTATAGTTTTGATGACTAAGAAGGCTCTGCTTAAGGGTTGAGTACTTTACTGGAGTAAAACTGCATAAGCCTGCTCCCTTTGGATAAAACTAGTGCTTACCTGTTTAAAACTTGTATTTAGCTTTTGTTTGGAATTGGAAAAAATTGGAACTTAAATAAATTAGGTGAAAGATGACTGGTTTTATTTATGGAAATCCTATGAATTGAATTTTAGTGGCATCTTGACAGTGTCACCCATTACAAACACGGAAAATGTACAGACTGTAAAATGGTATTAAGATTAACAAAGATTAGCGGCAAAGGTGTTCTTACGTATGTGGGCAATATGTTTTGAAAAGTAGCTGTTGGAAAGAATTGAATTACTAGCATACTATTGTATTGGTACATGGATATTTTTAGTTGTTTGGTCATATGGTCTTACAGGTTAAACTGGAGCACCCTAGAAAAACACCACCTGAAAGCTGCAACTTCACATTGATAAATACCTTGAGTTACAAAGAAATATTTTGAAAATGCTGCTCTACAGAATGCTAAGACTTTCTAGAATGCTTAGTAAGCACCATATCTGCTAATAGTACTTAAAATTTCCCAGCTTTAAGCGCCTGTTCTCTGATTGGTCTGTAAGACATAACACCAAGTGTCCACCCAAAGCTTGAGATGGGTTTTGTAGGGTCTTGAACATTCGAGTTTCATGAGTTTGGATTTTGCTTCCTAAGTGTAATCCCTTTGTTTCTTCTTAATTTGTCATTTTGGACATCATCTCACAGCAGTGACAATATGGTCATAGTTATCTTGGTTAGCAAAGCAAATGACTTAGTAGTACTTGCGTTAGGAATTCTGGTTTTCTCCATTCTGGTTTCTCTTGCAAAGAGGCCTCAAGATGTTGGCCTGAGTGGCTGTGTACAATGCTTTTTAAGTGGCAGCATTGGTATTATCCTTAACTTTAGTTCTCTGTATTACAGGGAACAACCTGTTCAGTTTAATCACTCTCTTAGTTTTATATGGGATGCATAAGATGCACAGGCTACTCATTTGTTCTTTGTGACAGTGATCCTGGAGATACTATGCTTTCTTGGGAGAACATAGTTGTATAATGCTAATTTTGTTAAATGTGGTCTCTTCTACCTAGCTAACAAATGTTATGCTTTTGTTGTGCTATCAGATTGAGTTGATAGCCATCTGCATGGTGTAAGTTGTGGAAAAAAAGATAAAGGGGAACAATGGGCTTCAGAGCATGAGAATCTCAGGGAGCGTACGAGAGTTTGTTCTTAAGTGATTTGGCATCTTTGAAAGGTGTCTTTCTCCATGTAAACAGGACGCCTTTTGAGGGAAAAGATTAAACTTGAA